GCACTGTATATTTTACTGAATAAAATCTAATTATTAATTTTAATTACGTTCAAGCAATTTTTCTTCTTACCTTTTCCATATACTGTGGCATGTACACCATTTATTCTCCAGTCAAAATTTTGCAAACATATCGCTTCTACAAATTCACTACTCGTGCCATGAAATAGCATTCTTTCGTTCAGGTCTATTGCATGTCTTATCTTTTTCAAATGTATTTTTTTCCTGCAAGGCCCCAAAAAAAACAGTCTAAATATTAACTGGTCAAAATCCACACAGATATGCATTGCTACTTCAGTATTTTCAATATCTATTTAATTCATACCCTGAAAAGGATGGTAGGCATCAAGGCAGATTGGTTTGAACCATGAATACTAGAAAAAAATGTATTCCACAATGCAGTACATAGGTCAAATCGCATATATAGCAAAATAAGCACAGTACAAAAGTCATACGCTACAGATAGTCAAGGCCATTTATAAGCTCAACTCCCAATATGGGGTTTAAAACCACAACCTTCTCACGCAAAGGTAAGCAAGCGGTTTGGGTAATTGAATGAAGCTGACGTCAAGGCTTCAAATCTATAATTATTTTTTGTTATTCTTTTCTGAACTGTCTCTTGCACTTTCTGAGGTCGGGTGGACAAAATTGTCTACAGTATTCCAATTGAGGTCTCATAAGTCATCTGCACAGAGTCTTACCTGCAATAGAATTCCCACAGATCTAAGTTTTGAATCCTGTGAACTTGTTTGATTCGACTTTGATCCATTGTTTGCCCAAAGAGTTTTGCTACTTCTTGATGTTCGTTCGATGACTTAAGCAATGTACTGAGCTGCAAAGGAGTTTGTAATTTCATTTAATATATTGCTGAATAATTCATGGTTTGTTAAGTTAAACTGCATAAACATACAGACCTGATAGGGTATATCTTTGTCTATATTCTCCCAATGTGGAGGTATGGGGATTTGCTCGTTTCCACATATAAAACTATGAAATCAAAAGGCAAAATAAATACAAACACATGAAAGTTATCATTCAACATGCATAATAAATTGTTGATAATCTGATCATAGAACTTTTCCTACAAATCCCGAGTCAAAAATATACAGACCCATCATCCATCCAAACACTCCCCATTACACATTGCACTGTGCATTTTGGGTATTTAGACATGATTTGGAAATTCGTTTTATGCGTCCAAAAAACGATTTTATTTATTTTAATACAACGCTTTATTCTATTGCACTCATTTCGATACTTCACTGAAAGATTGCCAAGAGAGACAAGAAAATACAGGAAAGATGATCATAGAGCCTTTTCTAGATGGAAATTATTTCTGGATAATTCTTTAGTCATGATCTCACAAGCATTATTCCGCTTATAGTGAAGACTGCATTGGCTTTCTTTCTGCAAGGATTAGATTTTGATGTGAAATGTGCTGCAGTGTAAGGCATTTATTTAGAACTTCAATCAACATCAATTCCATCCCCATTCTTTTTGGAATCGAGACATTCTCCGTAACCTCACAGATACCATAATTTATCAAATTACAGAGGGAATCAAATGTCACATTTCTGGTTTATTCTTACCCTTAATTGAAACAATGTCCTGATTAGATGGTTTAAGATATCATTGGCAGATCACCCCATGTGATTGTGCAAGCCGGCAATCTTATGGTTTGATGATAAATGCACATTTATTGCCAAGAAATTGTAGGACAATAGGTTTCCTTCTCATATAGTTTAGAATCATGTCAATTCTGGGTATCAAAATTCATATGAGAAGATTCATGCATGTGAGATCATGGTTACAAAATTATCCAGAAATAATTTGCATCTGATTTCTAGGAAAAGTTCTGTGATCATATTATCAACTGTATGTTGATAATACTCTGTATTTTAGCTTAACAGTTGATATCAGACAATTCCTACCTAAAAGCATTGATACAGAAGGGAGCTCGCTTCACTGCACGCTGTTTCCCCGTGTTTGTGTTGGTTTGTTTCATTTCTAGAACAGAAAACAATTTTCCATTTTTGCCGTTTCCAATCTGTTGGTTAGAACACGATAACCACATCAATGTTTCACTGCTGTATGATGGAACATTCCCTTGAAAACTTTTGATTTAGATTAGGAATTAGGACAATAAGGGAGAATCACCTATATTGAACTCTGGAAACGGGGACAAGCAGGTTGAATTGCAAGCAAGTTGTACTTACATATCACCGCTCATGTACAATAATGTCTTAAAGAGCTTCACAGAGTTGATGTGGATCAATGATTGGGGAGGCAAGGAGGAGGGTAGGAGGGTGTTGGTTGAAAGCATACTCAGAGATTGTTTGTTACAGTAATAATACTTTCATTTGATAAAGCACTTATAACGTCAAAACATCTCAAAACTCTGCATAGGCGATTGCTGTCATAATTATTTCTAGACAATTTGTACACAGCAATGTTCCACAAACAGCTGTGAAGTGAATAGCCAATTTATGTGGAAGATTGTTGGCCAGGACACCTGGATAAACTCACTTCTCTTTTGAACAGTATCAGGGGATTTTTACATTCACCTGAACAGACAGATGGGGCCTCAGTGTAACATTTCAGCTGAAGTACAGCACCTCTGACAATCCAGTACTGGAGTTTCAGTATAGACTTGAGGTCAAAATATTGACATGATGCTTGAACAAACCACCTTCTGACTAAGGCAGGAAATAAAAGGTAACATTTCCATTGAAATCCATTCCATCTAACTGTAACAAATAAGTAGAACCGCAGAAAGAGAAAGGCAATTATTAGACATGTTTATTACCTCTAAAATCTAATACATAGTTGAATTTTGAGGTAGAAAATGAAATTTTGCCATGTGGATTCATGCTGAAACTTCTTTCAATGTCTTCACTACTTGCAGAACAAGGAATATTTGAATCTTTCTGAAATAAAAAAATATATAAGAAAAACAAAACATCATGCAAGCATTTGCTTGATGTTTGTCAATATTGCACATGTGCAACCAGTGCACCAACTACCCAGGATCACTGGCCTGGCTGTCATAAGCAGACTGGAGATTGACAAGACTCTGTAGTTAAATAATCCAACAAGAGCACGAATGGGCTGATGACAAAAAATGACTATTTTCACTTAGATGAAGTGCAACTGCACTTGCTGATCCAGTGTTAAACAGAGTAAGTATTCTTATTGAAGATTCAATGGAAAATTTCGATATAAAATCATACAATCGATACAAAATCCTTTCGCCCACAAAACACAGTCAATTCACTTTACAGTATATTCTGTGAAGTGTTTTGAGACCTGCAGAAGGTGTGATAAGGCGCTGTATCAAATATAAGGATTATTATAATTGCTCAATGAAGTACCAGTGTACTAATCCATATTACTCTAAATGCTAGCGCATAATGCAGTATCGAAGTGACAACTCCTGATGTATCATACGTCATGGAGAATGGCAGTGACAGGTGAATAGATCATAAACTAATTTGACATTCATTTTTAGTTGCTTTATTTTTTTTAAAAAAAACAATTCGGAGTCTTGTAGGGTATTGGTTAGAGCACTCGCAAACGAGGACCCAGGTTCGATTCCCAGGCAGGACAAAACCTTTGGCAAGTTCCCTTACTCCACACGCCTCTATTTAACCCAGCAGTAAGTAGGAACCCGGTTGTTAAGTCGATTGGTGGATTGCTTTCCGGGGGTAATAATCCCTTCAAAAAAATAACAGTAATTTGGTCATTCAATCCACGACTGTTTGTGGGTCACTGCTGTGCACAATTGGCTTCCGCATTCCCACTCACAAAATACAGTCAATTCACTTTACAGTATATTCTGTGAAGTGCTTTGAGACGTCTCGAAGACGTGATAAGGCGCGATATCAAATGCAAGGATTATTATTATTACTTTCATTTCAAATTGTACGTGTTAAAAGAACTCAGTTAAATATAATCGCTGGCAATGTGAAATACCACCTGTAATTTAATCAGACTCGTCCATGTCCATTTAGAATTTAACTCACGTAGTTAAATCTTTCCAAAGAACAGTCTCAGATCATAGCAACTGTTGATTAGATCACAGCCACTGTATATTTTTTCTCAAAATAAGTCTTACGGTGGCCTAATTTTCACTGGAACATCAGCAGGCTGGTAGCTAAGAATAAAAATTTTCAAAAAGCACACCTCAAATATGTGCCATTTTCCGCATTCACCCAAATAGAACCAGTTCCATTGTGTATCAGACGTATCCATATCTTCAACCTTGCTCTCTTCCATCACTGAAGCAGATTCTTCTCCAGCCATCCTTTCGATCACTATATGGCAGTTACCAACTTCTCCAGATCTGTTGAAGCAGTTCAAAACATTTATTGAATCATTCAGCCAATTAAATGTATAATTAACCTTATCTGAATATTAATAAAGGCTCTAGTAACAAAGTATGGTGTCTTGTTCTTACAAGGATAAGCAACTTTTAGCTCCCCCCCTTAACCACTTAAATAAACTAATAGATAATTATTTAAATCAAATTTAAAATGGGAAATTATGTTTGATTGATGGTGAAGGAACATGAAAGTGTGTGTTCTGTTTACACTGTCAATAAGGAGTTTGAATGCAACTTGTCAAAATCTATATTATAAATTATGTTTCATTTATTTTGTAAATGCTTTATCATCATTTCCCAAATAATATTTCCACCGAGTCAATAGAATCAGTGGACACAGGTTTAGAGACACAAAACTCAATTTTGGGACAGACACAAGGAAGCATTTCTTTACTCATAAAGGAATTAACCTTTCTTTTCAACCGTGCCTTCGGTCATCTTATAGTATAGATGTATTTAAGGGGAAGCTAGATAAGTACATGAGGGAGAAAGGAATAGAAGGTTATGCTGATAGGCTTAGTTGAGGAAGGGCAGGACCAGTTGGGCCAAACGGCCTGTTTCTGTGCTGTATTTTCTATGTAATTCTATGTAATCTACCCTCTTACATCCCCTCCATCCCTCTCTGATCCCAACCCAAAGCTCGGGTGCAAACCACTCTTTGCCTAGTGCCTTGGGAGATCATCCCAATGTGAACGGCGCTGTATAAATGCAATTTGCTATTGTTAATGACTGAAAGAATATTTGATATCAGGATGTTGAACTCATTTAAAAAACAATAAGCTGAAGAAGCTGTGATGGGAGGACTGTGGCGTGTGGAAGAATGAGATCAAATGGACCAAAAGGCCTTGTTCAGTTTGTCTTTCTTTGTGATCTTTTGAATTTAAGAAATTGGTTTATCTCATTTAATCGACAAACATTTTGCTGCAATGGATATCTGTAGTCAGAAGAGGGCACAAAGAAGCCACACCATTGAAGAATCTCACCATCTAATTCCTTCATACAAACTTAGGTTGCAAAAGCATTTGGTCAAGTTTAGCGTTTTTCTTTTAAAGTTTCTTACACCTCTGATTAACTTTGATTGTTTGGATTTAAAATCAACGAGTCCTAATAAAACCATCAAGGAAACCAGATTAATGAAGCTCTGCACGTAGCCGAATAGGAGGGGGAGTAAGGATCAGGCAGAATTAATATAAATAGTATATATAGATTAAGTTTAGCTCTAACCTGGTACTCTTTGTGGATTTGGGGTGAGATAAAGCCTCAGCAGTTGGTCCAATTCAACTTCCAGAGTATGTGTAGCTTCAATCTGTTTTGATTCTTATCTCTGGTGTTGAACTTGGGGACAAAAACAGAACTTTCTTCATAATTATGATCAGCCAAATACACTTAAAACATATGATCAGCACTGCTTTGAAGTCAAATGTTACATGAAGCAACAAAGCAAAGCCTGTGATTTACACACACACACACACTCATACACACTCTCAGACACACACACTGACACACACTCACAGACACACAGACTAATACACTCTCAGACACACACTCTCAGACACACACACTAATACACACTCTCAGACACACACACTCAGACACACACACTAATACACACTCTCAGACACACACACTAATACACACTCTCAGACACACACACTCAGACACACACACTAATACACACTCTCAGACACACACTCTCAGACACACACACTAATACACACTCTCAGACACACACTCTCAGACACACACTAATACATACTCACAGACACACACACAAACACTCTCAGACTCACACACACACACTCACACACACACTAATACACACACTCACAGACACACACACTAATACACAGTGAGTGGGCCTTACACACAGACTGACCAGGGCCTGGGGGTGGTGATGGTGGGGGTTGTGGGGGTGTTGGGGGGTGATGGTGGGGGGTGTTGGGGTGATGGTGGGGTGTGATGGTGGGGGTGATGGTGGGGGGTGATGGTGGGGGGGTTGGGGGGTGATGGTGATGGGTGGTGATGGTGGGGGGGGGTTGGGGGGTGATGGTGGGGGGGTTGGGGGTGATGGTGATGGTGGGGGTTATGATGGTGATGGGGGGTTGGGGGGTGATGGTGATGGGGGGGTTGGGGGTGATGGTGGGGGGGTTGGGGGTGATGGTGGGAGGAGTTGTGGGGTGATGGTGGGGGGTTGGGGGTGATGGTGGGAGGAGTTGGGGGTGATGGGGGGGTTGGGGTGATGGTGTGGGGGGTTGGGGTGATGGTGGGGGGTTGGGGGGTGATGGTGGGGGGTTGGGGGGTGATGGTGGGGGGGTTGGGGGGTGATGGTGGGGGGGTTGGGGGTGATGGTGGGGGGGGTTGGGGGGTGATGGTGTGGGGGGTTGGGGGTGATGGTGGGGGGGGTTGGGGGGTGTGGGGGGGTTGGGGGGTGATGGTGGGGGGGGTTGGGGGTGATGGGGGGGGGTGGGGGGTTATGATGGTGGGGGTTGGGTGTGATGGTGATGGGGGTTGGGGGGTGGTGGGGGGGGTTGGGGGGTGATGGTGGGGGGTTGGGGGTGATGGTGGGGGGTTGGGGGTGATGGTGGGGGGGGTTGGGGGTTATGATGTGTGGGGAGGGTGGTGGGGTGTGGTGTGTGGGGGGGGTGGTGTGGTGATGGGGGGGTGGGGGTGTGGTTGTGTGGGGAGGGGTGTGGGGGTGTGATGTGTGTGGGGGGTTGGGGGTGATGGTGTGGGGGGGTTGGGGTGATGGTGGGGGGGTTGGGGGGTTGGGGGGTGATGGTGGTGATGGGGGGTTTGGGGGTGATGGGGGGGGGTTGGGGGGTGATGGTGGGGGGGGGTTGGGGGTTATGATGGTGGGGGGTTGGGGGGTGATGGGGGGGGTTGGGGGGTGATGGTGATGGGGGGGGTTGGGGTGATGGGGGGGGGTTGGGGGTTATGATGGTGGGGGGGTTGGGGGTGATGGTGGGGGGGGTGGGGGGTTATGATGGGGGGGGTTGGGGGTTGATGGTGATGGGGGGTTGGGGGGGGGTTGGGGGTGATGGTGGTGATGGGGGTTTGGGGGGTGTGTGTGTATGTGTGTGTGTGTGCGCCTGCGTGCAGTTGGTGTTTTCGTGGCGCAGGGCGTGCGCTCAGCTGTTGGAGGTGAAGCTGTTGGAGGTGAAGCTGTTGGAGGTGAAACAAATGCACAGAGAAGAGACGTTGTTGCGACCAAAGTGACCAGAAACAGGTGAGTGGATCGCACTGCATCGCATCGCCGGGACTCACCCCCTCTCTCTCTCTCTCTCTCTTATCCCCCAAACGAAAATGAAACCATTTACTTTGTTGTGACTTGAACCTGAAACGCACAACACACAACACATACACTCACACACACACATACACACAACACACAACACATACACTCACACACACACATACACACAACACACAACACATACACTCACACACACACATACACACATACACACTAACACACAACACATACACTCACACACACACATACACACACACTCACACTCACACACACAACACACACTCACACACATACTGTGTTGCCAATGATGTTTCACTTGGGGTGTGGAAGCAGTGCTATCTATCTGCAGGGGGTCACATTGTTGCACTGTTCCCCCCACACCCCCCCCACACACACACCCACACCACACACACACACACCCACACACCCCACACACACACACCCCCCACACACACACCCACACACACACACCCCCCCACACACACCCACACCCCCCCCACACATCCCCCCACACACACCCACACACCCACACCCCCCCCCACACATCCCCCCACACACACCCACCCCACACACACCCACACACACCCACACCCCCCCCACACACACACCCCACACCCCTCCCCACACACACACCCACACCCCCCCCCACATCCCCCCACACACACCCCCCCCACACACACACCCCACACCCCTCCCCACACACACACCCACACCCCCCCCCACATCCCCCCACACACACCCACCCCACACACACCCACACACACCCACACCCCCCCCACACACACACCCCACACCCCTCCCCACACACACACACCCCCACACACACCCCCACACACACACCCCACACACACACCCCACACCCACCCCCACACACCCCCCCCCCACACACACCCACACCCCCCCCCACACACACACACACCCCACACACCCCACACACACCCACACACACACACCCCACACCCACACACCCCACACCCCCCACAACTCCCCCCACACACACACCCCACACACCCCCCCCCCCCCCCGGTGTGTGTTTAAAAAAAAAGAGGGGTACTTCACCTCCAGTGCTTTTCTCCCGCGACCCCTCGTGTTATTGGATGGCCCCTGAGTTTCGTTTGCAAATTTGTGGGGGTGTGGGGGGGTGTGGGTGTGGGGGGGGTGTGTGTGTGGGGTGTATGTGTGGGGGGGGGTGTGTGTGGGGTGTGTGTGTGTGGGGGGGGGGTGTGTGGGGGTGTGTGTGGGGGGTGTGTGTGTGGGGGGGGGTGTGTGTGGGGGTGTGTGTGGGTGTGTGTGTGGGGGGGGGGTGTGTGTGGGGGGTGTGTGGGGGGGGTGTGGGGGTGTAGAGGGTTCTTTAAAAAAAATCAGTTCAGAAACAATCTTCATAGAAGTTGCATTCTCTGTTGTATGGAAGTTATTGACTCCGACAGAGTTTCTTCCCCCCCACTGCCTCCCACCCCCCCCCACACTCACCCCCCACCCCCCCCACTCCCTCCCACCCCCCCACTCCCCCCACACTCCCTCCCACCCCCCCCCCCACACTCCCCCACACACCCCCACACTCCCCCCCCCCACTCCCCACACTCCCCCCCCACCCCCCCACACTCCCCCCCCACTCCCCCCCACACTCCCCCCCACCCGTCCTCCCAACGTGAAAAGCGCTATATCAAATGCGAGGATTATTATTATTTTTATGCGGTGCGCTTCATGTAGGGCAGTGTCTCGGAGCGCTTAACATTGTCATGTTTGAACGTGATACAAACGAATGAATGAGCGAGTGATTTTTTTTTGAAAAAAACGCATTTAATCATTCGTAACCAGAAATGAAAACGAGTTGGAATACAGATCTTCAGTTTGATGTGATTTCTGGCAGTTAGTCGATACTCAAAATACATTGTTCGGCCCACGAAATATACAGTCAATTCGCTTTACGGTATATTCTGTGAAGCGCTTTGAGACATCTCGAAGACGTGATAAAGCGTTATATCGAATGCAATGATTATTATTTCTTATGGTCCTAATGTTTAGAAAATACATGATGTTTTTTTCTGAAGGGAACTATACAATGTAAGTAAAACTGCTGCTTCTTCACCCTTAATATGACAGCAACAGTATTTTTCTTACTCACACTTTTGTGTCTCCCGGAAATATAAATTCCATTCGGTTGGAACTCGCCTTTTCCGTTTAATGTTTCCTTCTTTTTGAAATAGAAAGAAGACAAGCGGGTTTCTGAGCTCTTAAAATAGGTTAACATTGCAAAAAGCTGCCTCTTCACCAGAACTTTAAAAAGGATAATGTAGTAGCTGATGAACAGGAGAGAGATGAACAAAAAGATCATAAAATTCAAGGAGACAGGTATGTGGAGAGTCTTGAAAAGCTGAGATTATTTGCTGAAACAGAGGAAGTGGGAGTATATCTAATAAAAGTTATCAAAATTCTGAAAGATTTTGGTGCAGTGGATGCATTTCCAATTAGCGATGGATCAGTGACAAGAGGGTACTCTTAGCAGAAAAAAGAGAGATTAGAATTTTTTAAACACAGAAAGATATTAAGAGTGTGGCCGTTGAAGCTGAGTCCACGAACAGCATTTAAGAGGAAATTGGATAAGTACTTCAAGAGCAATATTGGGAAATGAATCAGTTTGGTGGATAGCTGTGGGGGGAGGGAGGGAGAGAACAAACACCAGCACAGAGATGAAAGGCTGAATGGCCTCCAACTGTGCTATAAACATTCTGTGACCCCATTATGGAGAGAGGCACACAACTTTTTCAGGGAATGGCATACCTCGAAGACAAGCGTCAATGAATCAAATAATGGATGTTGAAGGCGGACAGTGAATAGATAATGTGCTTGGTTAGCTAAGAGTATTCTGGAAAATATCTGCTTCTTGTCATTGTCGTCAGTGTGTTAGGTCTGTAAGCATCGCTGATTTTTGTGGTTCCTTCATTCTCTCACAATGTTTGCAGAGTGCAAGTGGGGAATGCTGTCGTTTAGTCTGAAAATGGACTGATGGCACAGACACTATTGGGTATAGGCTGCTTGGCTTATACCACCTTGATGCATTTGAAAAGAGCATCCAAAAGTAATTCCATTGGAATATATTTTCCTTTTTATTTGTTTTAACTAAACGCACAGGAGCCAGCCTGGTATAAGCACTTAACATTCAAAGCACCTTGAGCACAAAGTTTGCCTCACTTCAGATTTTCTCTATTTAAGATGAAAGTCCAAGAAATCATTTTA